ACATACTTAGGAAACAATTTGGTTGAAGTCTCGCATCCTTCTGGGAGCGAGGACTTTTACGTATCACCACCGCAGACTCTGGATTTAGCGTCTGCTTCGAGTCCAGGTCTTAAGCTGTGTAATTTAAAGCAATTGCCGTTTCCATAACTTCAGGGAATTCGGAGGTAGGCAGATGTGAACAGAGACTGTTTAACACCATCTCCCGTATCGTAAACAGCTGGAGAGTAAATTACCTTGGCTAATTTTTACTACTGAACTACGGTTGATAATTTTTCAGGACAGAGAGTCTGGGCCATTTTCTTGAGCTGATATACCATTACCTAGATCTTCTATAAAACATATGCCTTTTCTCCACTTGGGTATTTACGTAGAAAGAGAGGTTTCATTTACTTAGGTCAGTGTCTCCAGGGGTGCGTCTAGCCACTGCCTGCAGGACCTACCAAATCCATGCTGGTGAGATCCTGGCCAAACATGAAAATTCAGGAAGGAAGCTTCACAAAGTGGCCGCTATCGCTTGGAACAAATGCGCACAACACGCTCTCAAGGACCAAGACAGCTGAAGCTTATTTGTTACTCATCTCAGCTACTTTCCTTCATGGAATGCTAAGGACTGATTATGTTGGGGAAACTGAAGCCACGTAAAAACAGGCTCAGAATCCCCAGGGCTGTGCCTGGCCTCGTGACAGAACGCATATCCCAAAGGATCTTGACGGCAGCGACATTTTGTTTCCTGGTATTGATTTCCCCCAATTCTATAACAGTTTAAGTCACAGTCTCACAAAAACGAAACAGAACAAAACCAGCAGCTCACAGTGTCAGGGTAATCATTTTATTATCAAAGAGAACCCATGGGGTTCAAACGAGAGTACAAAATACGATCTTTATTTTTATTTTTTTCCTGTGGGTTAAATCGTTACGTTTTTAATAATAAAAATAAAAAGGCCCTCGTAGTTAACTTATCAAAAACATAACCGCTGACTACTGAGTTTCTCATTGTGCAAAACAACAGAAACACGAGCAAAGTCACATTCTTCCCGTGGCAGGACTGTGTGCGCCAAAAGCTGCGCGTTTTCAATTTCCGAATTTTGGCATCGGAAAGAAAATTCAAAGGCCACAGTTTCTTTTCAAGCTAAAGATGACGAGGATATGCGAGCACATACAGCAGCTGAAATGTTAATGTTCCTTTCCAAGTCTTCTCTGTTCCGATGGAGGATTTTCCACATCTCGAGGACAGAAACGTATGTGGTTCCGACCCGCTGTTCACGTTCAGAGACGCTGGCGCCGGTCCCGTGAGGCGGCGTCACGCGTTTTAAGCTCTTACGTGCTGCCACACCGGCTCAGCTTTCGGTGCGTGGGCCACGCTTCACGATTTCTCTAAAGAGGGGACGGGACGATCATCTCGGGGAGGGAGTCACCGCGAATCGTTGCTTTTCTACCTGGAGCCAAATTACGAGACTTTCCTCCTCCTTCATGCCGCTTCGTCTCTTCGCTTTGCTTTGGCATCGGAGAGACGGCCCAGGTCTTGACGGGGCGTGTAGACGACAGCTTAGAAGTCAGCGAATCGTGGGGGATGAGCTCTTTTCAAGTAACACTGAAGCCGTTTGGACAGGGCTTAAATACACACACCAGTTTAAAAGTGCGCGCACGCGTGTGCACACGCACAGAACAGGCAAAATGAAAAACCAAAGCAGGGAGGAGAGTTTTGTGGCAGTTTCAGTAACAGGTTTACATTGTGATTTTAAACAGTGGCTTTACACTGAAAGAGATGTGTACAATACTTAATGGTGGCAGAGTTCCGTCCAGACGGGGGGAAAGTATAAATTTACCTAATATTTGTAGAAAAATCCCTGATCAAATAGGCGACTAATTTTTAAATACGAAATTTAACCTTGGAAGAATGTTTCTGTTTCTCACTGGACACGCCGATTGAAAGAAAACTTAACTCTTCCGTGGAGTCAAGTGCCATATTCTGCATCAGAAGCACTGGGGCTTCTAGATCAGTCCCTCGGAGCAGGGGTCCCCAAGCGCCGGGTCACGGACCGGTACCGGTCCATGTCCCATTAGAAACTGAGCCGCACAGCAGGAGGTGCGGGGCGGGCGAGCGAGCGGAGCATCATCTGTGTCTGCAGCCGCTCCCCAGCGCCAGCATCACCGCCTCAGCTCCGCCTCAGACCCTCAGGCATGAGACTCTCATAGGAGCACCAGTCCCTGGTGCCACAAAGGTTGGGGACCACTGCCTTAGGACATGGAGGAGACCAAAGTCCTTGGCCTGTCCAAAATCTCCCTCAGGGGAATTTCTGTCTCCCTTCACCCAGCGCCTGGAAATGCCCTCAGCTTCCAAAACCAACAGATTAGAGGAAAAGCAAGTGACTGTGTGACTGTGGATGAGGAGGAGGGGGCGGGGGGACAGTGGAAACACTCCTCGGACTTTGAGCAGCAACACAATCCCGTTGGTCTGAAAATCCTGAGGTTAAATGATGATAACATATTGCACCAAAACAATAAACGAAATCACAGCTTGAAAGGTGTCACTAAAGAATCGGGAACAAGGTACAAGGCAGTGACCACCATCAGTGGATCTGCGTCTCCTGACAGGAATGAAGTTTGGGCCTTTTTAAAAAACGGCATTTCTACCCTCTTTGGATTTTGCATTTGTTTTGAAATACCCTTTGGTACACAGATGTTAACGTCCACCTAACGCTGGCCGTGCGGGCTTTTCCCCTGGGGCGGGTCCAGATGCGGTGACCGGGGAGGCAGCAGACAGTCCAGAGAGGACGTCTCAGGCCGAGTTTGCAAACGAGGCTGACCACCCACGAGAGGAAGGATGCGACCTGCTGTCCCCCCGTCCTTGGTGAATAAGACATGAGGAGAATCAAACACGTATCCTGTTTTAGTACCGAAAGGGAGGGAAAAGCAGCCTTTGACCAAGTCTTTCCACCCTGAAATTCCTTTTTCCGCTCTGAACTGACGAGCCTTTAGAGGACTGTCTCCCGGCTTTGGAACACTGTACTTACTGCCCAGTTAGAAATGCCGTTTGAAGCTCTCGCTGATAGAGTGAAATCCCAGTCACCTCGTCGGGACCTCACGAGAGAATTTGTTCCAGGGCTACGGTCCCAGGGGACCCAGGAGAAATCCTGACGACCACGGCGCCGGGAGCTCTCGCTTCGTGTTCCGTGGGCCTCGAGCCCTCCCCGCCACCCCTGCGCGGCCACCTGCTCCGAGGCGCAGTCCCCTCCCAGCGGGCTGTGCTGTCCCCCTGAGGCAGGTCCGCACAGGCTGCCCCGGCCACTCTCTCACGTCAGCGCGGGCTACCTGTCACCCACGCTGCCACACCAGGACTTCCGTCGCGTTCTGGGACTTCTCACGTCGCCACCCCGTTATTTTAAGGGGACGTACGGCCACGTCAGAAACTCGTGGGACAATCCTGTTCGCCCACTGGAAAGTTCACGTTTTCTTTAATTTCTTGGTGCTGATGGTCATTTATGTTCTTAAGTGAATTTCCCCCAAAAAGGCAAGAAGGAGAAGAACCGCATTCGATGACGATCACAGTGATTTCTGGAATCTGGTCAGAGGATGAAGGAAACGGGCTGGGTCTCTTCTCTGCTACTAGGATGTGGATCCACCTGCAAGAGAGCAGACCGAGACTGTGCTCGTGGCTTTCCTCGAAATGGTTCCAGTAGCTACTTCTAATTACGTGATGGTTATAAGCCGCACTTAGAGCCTGGGATTATTACTCAGTCCCAGGGGGCCGCTTCAATGCCACGGCCACGTCGGACACCTTGGAGGCAATCCGTGGCACGTGACGGCATGCCATCCGTCACGAGGCACACACTGCAAGAGGTGGGTCACGAAGCAGTGATAATCTGTCACCGCCGTAAACAAAAATGTTTCATATGCATCCCCTGGTGATTAGGAATTAGCAACAGACACTTACCAAGGACTGTTGACAAACAGCACAATGAAAGTCGAATTATCTTTGGGCTTTGTTTACCTCTGAGTATAGAGGAGGCGGCTGAAACCAGAATTCCTGAGTGTAAGCGAACACAGGGCAGCATGCTTCCCCCTCACAGCTGGGGTGCTGCGGATAAGGGGGGACGTGTCTGGAGAATTCTTCCTCTGACACCACGTCTGCGTACTTGGGCGGAGCTGAAACAAACACAGAGTTGCGTCTCAGACGGTCATGCGAGATCTAATTACATTAATCTCTTCTGAACTCTTATAAACAAGAACTTATCAACACTTAAATAGAAAACAGTGGGGTTCTTCCCTCTAAATCAGCAAGGTTTCATGCCCGTTTAGACAAAAAAAAAAATTTAATATGTTCTGATTTTATTAAACTGATTTTGGTTATATTTTACTCTTTTGAAACGTGTGTTATAGTCTAGGTAAAAAAAACAATCGTTGAAATGTGGCTACAGAAAATATATGAACATTCTGTACGTTCTCTTTTTTATTGTTTTATTATTCTAAATCAGGCACGTAGCTTTCGTTCCTGGATCTGGCATTGGTAGCTTTGTGTTCTGGATAAGCTGAACTCTCAAAGGCCTTTCTAGGAATAATGCTTTATGGTTTTTAGAACTAGGAAGAGTAAAAGACAGTTGTAGTGGTAGTATTTTTTTTTTTTTACATTTTATTCAATTTATTGGGGTGACAATAGGTTTTAAGTGTCCAATTCAGTAATAGGTTGTCTGTATATCGTATGTAGATCGCGCTCTGTGCTCACCACCCGCAGCTAAATTATCTTCCATCGGCAGCGGTGTTAATTAACATCTGAGCACTGACTACCTCGTATGTCCCGTTCCTGGGGACTTTCTGTGTCAAACTTCATTCTGAAAGAACCCCGAAACATTTACCTTCGGGCTCTTCGGGCAGCGTCCGCGCCAGCCAGCTCAGATCCATCCTGAACTGGCTGACGATGCTGGTGTTC